CGGAGGTGACTTTATATAACAGCAGTATGTGTTCACGGAGGTGACTTTATATAACAGCAGTATGTGTTCACGGAGGTGACTTTATATAACAGCAGCGTCTCTACAGAACAGTCCGTGCGTCTCTACAGAACGTGTAATATGGGTCCTGTTACTAAAGCCCATAATCGGACTAAAGATTTTGAGGTCAGGAGACACAGCTCCAACATTACAGACAGCACAACAGTAGGTTAGTGAGAGCGATTTTGTCGTCCTTACGTTATGTGAAGTCTGGGCCTTGTAGTCAGTGTACTTCTGTGGACGTTCAGAAGTAAAAAACTACAAAGAATCTTTTAGGCAAACACCAGAAATCCACTGTGTATTCAACTTTGCAACACGATTAGACAGAAATTTAGTGCTTATTCCAATAGACAGAAAACACCAGGACACAACAGAGATGTTGTGATGTATTCAAATCACTATTTATTATGTGCAAGAGGAGCTTTTGCAGCTGACCACCTTATTGACGAACTCAAACAAACCTCTACTAAGCAAACGACTTGTTACCAACATACGCCCCACCGTGCTCCGAAAACTCGTAGTGCGCCACAGTGGCCTGTTCATTCGTCCACCTCATAAGTGGCCCTTCCGTGACTAATATGGTCGTACTTCCTGGTTCTAGTCAGGACTAATATGGTCGTACTTCCTGGTTCTAGTCAGGACTAATGTGGTCGTACTTCCTGGTTCTAGTCAGGACTAATATGGTCGTACTTCCTGGTTCTAGTCAGGACTAATATGGTCGTACTTCCTGGTTCTAGTCAGGACTAATGTGGTCGTACTTCCTGGTTCTTGTCAGGACTAATGTGGTCGTACTTCCTGGTTCTAGTCAGGACTAATGTGGTCGTACTTCCTGGTTCTAGTCAGGACTAATATGGTCGTACTTCCTGGTTCTAGTCAGGACTAATGTGGTCGTACTTCCTGGTTCTAGTCAGGACTAATATGGTCGTACTTCCTGGTTCTAGTCAGGACTAATATGGTCGTACTTCCTGGTTCTAGTCAGGACTAATGTGGTCGTACTTCCTGGTTCTAGTCAGGACTAATGTGGTCGTACTTCCTGGTTCTAGTCAGGACTAATGTGGTCGTACTTCCTGGTTCTAGTCAGGACTAATATGGTCGTACTTCCTGGTTCTAGTCAGGACTCGAGCTGCTGCATTTTGAATGTACTGCAGCTGTTTTACAGCCTGTTTGGACAGACCTGTGAGCAGGCCATTGCAGTAGTCTAACCTACTGGAGACAAATGCATGGATAAGACTCTCCAAGTCTGCTTTAGACACTATGTTTTTGATCCTGGCAATGTTTTTTAGATGGTAAAAAGCTGCTGATGTTACTGATTTGATGTGGCTATTAAAATATAAGTCTGAGTCCAGTATTACCCCTAGATTTCTGACCTTGTTTGAAGGTTTTAGGGAGAGCGACTGTAGGTGACAGATGACGCTCTCTCTTTGTTTCTGGGGACCAAAGACAATCATTTCAGTTTTGTCTGCGTTTAGCTGAAGGAAGTTGTTTTGCATCCACTCACTGATCTGTTGGATACAGTGAAGGAGTGAGTCCACTGGTCCATGTTCTCCTGCAGTCAGTGAGACATAGATCTGAGTGTCGTCTGCATAGTTATGATAGGAAACTTTGTTTCTGCGTATTAACTGACCTAACGGCAGCATGTAGAGATTGAACAGAAGAGGTCCCAGGATCGACCCCTGTGGGACTCCACAGGTCAGGGCCATATGATCTGAGACACAGTTTCCAATCTCCACAAAGTACTTCCTGTCTTCAAGGTAAGACCTAAACCAACTTAGGGCGGTGCCAGCGACTCCAACCCAGTCCTCTAGTCTCTGTAAGAGGATCTCATGGTCGACGGTGTCAAAGGCAGCACTTAGATCTAACAAGATTAAGATTGAGACTTTGCCTGCGTCAGTGTTCAGCCGGATATCGTTTGTAACCTTAACGAGAGCAGTCTCAGTGCTGTGGTGGGGTCTAAAGCCGGACTGAAACATATCAAATGAGTTGTTGATTATAAGAAATCTAGTAAGCTGTAGGTAGACAACTTTCTCAAGGACTTTCCCCATAAATGGCAGATTTGAGATGGGACGATAGTTGTTAAGTACCGTAGCATCCAGACTGCTCTTTTTTAGCAGGGGCCTGATGACTGCAGTTTTCAGGGCCTTTGGGAATATTCCAGAATGAAGGGACATGTTTACTATCTGTGTGAGTGAAGGTAACAGACTGCTCAGAACAGACTTCAGAAATCTAGTGGGTAGTACATCCAAGCTGCATGTGGAGGAGCTCAAACTGGAGATTATCTCTTGGACAGTTTTATCATTTACAGGTGCAAAGTGAGTTAGCTCAGAGAGCCTTTCTGGCTGTTGGATGGTTATCTGTGGATTGGAGACAATGGCGTTTTTGATGCCTTGAACCTTGTCATTGAAAAAATTAGCAAACTCATTGCATTTACGTTTGGAAGTTAGCTCTAATGGCATTTGAACAGGGGGGTTTGTTAATCTATTAACTGTTGAAAACAGAACACGCAGATTGTTGCTGCAACCTTCAATCATTTCAGAAAAATACCTTTCTCTCGTACTACGTAGCACCCGGTTAAACTCGCACAACTTATCTTTGAAGATCTTGTAATCAACCTGGAGGTTGGACTTGCGCCACTTCCGCTCGGCCCTCCGGCACTTTCTCTTTTGTGCCCTGACCGAGTCTGCTTTAGCCCACGGCGCCTTCTGCTTATTTTTCACTATTTTAACCTTCACAGGGGCAACGGTATCCAGAACATTCAAAACACTAGAGGTGACAGAGTTAAACAGTTCATCTACAGTAGAATACGATGCATTTTCAAAGTTTATCATTCCCATAAATAGTTCACCCGTATTTTCATTTATGTGTCTTCTTCGTACAGTTGCAGAGTCCACTGGTGGTTTGTTAGTGAAACACATGTCAAAAAAAACACAGAAATGATCCAAAAGAGCAACATCGACCACGTTTACATTTTAAATATTCACCCCCTTAGTAACTAACAGATCTAGAGTGTGCCCTCTGCTGTGGGTGGGGCCACTCACATGCTGAGTGAGATCAAAGGATTCAAGTACAGAACTCAGCTCATTTGCATTTCTGTCATCAACATTATCCACATGAATATTAAAATCACCTGTAATAACCAAACTATCAAAATCTGTGCATACAACTGAAAGCAACTCTGTAAAATGATCAATAAAACTGTGACATGACTGCGGTGGCTTGTATAGGACAATGAAGAGTATTGGAGGAGATTGTTTTTGTTGTATTTTAAAAGACACATATTCAAAAGACGGAAACTTCCCAAGAGACATTCTATGGGAGACAAAGTGGTCTCTAAAAATGGCAACTAAGCCTCCTCCTTTTTTGTTTTCCCGTATTTCAGATTCAAACTTGAAATTTGGTGGTGATGCTTCTATTAAAACTGCATTTTCTGTATTTTGGTCAAGCCAAGTTTCAGCCATGAACATAAGATCAAGATTATAAGAACAAATAAAATTATTGATTAAAAAAGACTTGTTACAAAGAGATCTGACATTAAGCATAGCAAGTTTCAAAGTTTCAGTATCAGCGGTTGTGGTCGGCTGATTCTTATACGGAACAAGAATTAGATTTTCCAGATTAGACTGATTAACTCCAGATGTTTTTCTGTAATGTATTCTTTGTGTTATCACTAAAGGAATGGCACAGGTGGCTTCATGACAGGGCCCCAGCCGGGTCTCTCCTCTAACTAGACTGCCAGTGGCTGCGAAGCAGAGACCCTGTGCATCCTAGTGTTTAGAGAAAAGAGGGGAAGGGGAAGGCGGGGGAGGAGGATGGAGAGGTGGGTGGCTTTTGGGTGTTGAACGAGGGGGGCAGGGAGGTGGATGGGTTTTAGGTGATGGGTTAGGGCCGGGGTGGGCTGAGGCAGAGGTTTTGGATGTTGAACGAGGGGGAAGTGGGGGTGGAATGGTCATGAGGTTAGGGGAGGGACTGGCTGAGGTGGTTTTTGTAGGTGAATTGGAAACCCTAGGTGGTTTTGGAGGTACATATGGGGAGTGGTTTAGAATGTTGGACAGGACTCTAGATCGAGCTAATATGGGTGTGAGAGGAATAGTCTTCATGACCGATTGTATTAGCCCTGCAGAGTGTTCAGGTAGGTCTAACAGTGAAGGCGGGGATGAAAAACAAAGGGAGGCGTCCCCATTCTCTCTTGATGGAGTGGACGTGGCAGGGGGGACCCAAGACAGGTCCATGGGAGGTGGCGAGGGAGTCTTTGATGGAGGGGCAGGTGGTTGAGGAAAACATGTAACATGTAACAGATACATGTTAGCATACGTGTAACAGATACTCTCTGATGTAAAATCAAGCTTTTCTTTTGTAGTACACAGGTTTCATAACTAATGTAAGTAATATAATAGAACTAATTATATAAAGTAATCGTTATCTGTTTTGGGTTATTTTTTATTTTCCAATTAGCCGTTATTGAATCCTTGATAGTACAGGTATTAGTACTATTATTTTATATATAATAGTACTAAAATACTGCTGGTCCCAGAGTCAGGACTAAACATGGGAAGGAAGCGTTTCAGATTTATGCAGGTTAGATCTGGAACAGTCTTCCTGAAAATGTGAGACAGGTCCAGGTTAAAACCAGTTCTGTTTAGCTGTGCGTACAACTGAGGGATTGTATCCTTCACTCTTTTTAATATACTGTGATTATTTAGACCCTTAAGACACTAAATTAGGATCTAAACTGGTCTAAATGACCCAGGGCAGGACAAGTTAGGAATAATCATAAATCATCAGCTCCAGAATGTGTTTTGTTGTATGGTGCTATACAAATAAACTGGCCATGCCTAGATACAGACAGACACAATCTTCTTCTCCACATATTCCCTTTCCCCTGCTCCTAAGCCCCGGTCGGCGTGCTCCGACCTCACGTGGAGCCGACCATAGAAAGTGCTGGGCTCTTACTGTGCGCTGTGTGGGAAGTCGAGCAGATGGGACATGGTGATGAAGGGGTGGCTGAGCGTTTCGATTGGCGTGATTCTCTTGTCGGCGTCGATGGTGAGCATCTTTGTCAACAGGTCGATGAACTCCCTCCGGTCGGCCTTCTCCGCCAGCATGTCACTGCCCTCCAGCTCCGACGTCATGTTCACCTGCAGAGAGACCGCCGCTGTTAGGGTCCAAATGTATTTCTATGGCACAGTTCGTACAGAATGAAGAAGATTTAAAAACAAGCGTGGGTAAATCAAAACACTCTAAACACATACAAAGGGCAATTTAACAAACTCCTTCACAAGAAAGTAATGTAAAATATATGTTTTGTTTTCTAAGATGGAGGAGCACTAATAACTAATTACTTTTATTATAATAATGCATCGGTTTTATTTAGCGCTTTTTTTGGACACACAAAGACGCTTCACCTATAACAGTGGTTATACACTACTACTGTAGCCACAGCTGCCCTGGGGCACACTGGCAGTAGTGAGGTAAACAGTATGTGCCATTTGCCCTTCCCGCCACCACTAGCCTTTCACACACACGCACACACACACACACCGCACCACTGTGGCACCTGGGGTTCCCCAAGGTCTCACATCACAGTACTAACCAGACCCTACCCTGCTTAGCTTCAGAGGTCTGACAGGATCTGGCTTACCCTCCAGTTTTTTTTTTGTGCGTATATAAACTGGTTGAGAAGCAGCTTGATGGTAAAAGTGCCTAAAACCAAGTGATAGAAATGCAACACTGCTTCCAGTAGAGAAAGTGATAAATTGTGACTGTAAAATGTGAAATTGCGACATCAGAGCCTACAATAAAAACACAGGAAGTCTAACGTCTGCTCAGGATCCACCACCACAGCACGCTCTCTGCAGGTTTGTTTAACAGCTCTTTCACTTGGCAGCCTGTCTGTAACCTTGCTCTTTTGGTGACTTTAAAGACACAGGTATTATTCCTAGTCTCGCTGAAAGTATCTGCCTGGCGCCTGGACTGAGATTGTATCTGTGTGAGCAGTGAAAACAAACAAAAGAACACTGCAGATGCCAGATGCACAGAGGATGCACTTCTCACCTAACGTTGGACTAAAGGGCTCAGCTAACGTTGGACTAAAGGGCTCAGCTAACGTTGGACTAAAGGGCTCAGCTAACGTTGGACTAAAGGGCTCAGCTAACGTTGGACTAAAGGGCTCAGCTAACGTTGGACTAAAGGGCTCAGCTAACGTTGGACTAAAGGGCTCAGCTAACGTTGGACTAAAGGGCTCAGCTAACGTTGGACTAAAGGGCTCAGCTAACGTTGGACTAAAGGGCTCAGCTAACGTTGGACTAAAGGGCTCAGCTAACGTTGGACTAAAGGGCTCAGCTAACGTTGGACTAAAGGGCTCAGCTAACGTTGGACTAAAGGGCTCAGCTAACGTTGGACTAAAGGGCTCACCTAACGTTGGACTAAAGGGCTCAGCTAACGTTGGACTAAAGGGCTCAGCTAACGTTGGACTAAAGGGCTCAGCTAACGTTGGACTAAAGGGCTCAGCTAACGTTGGACTAAAGGGCTCACCTAACGTTGGACTAAAGGGCTCACCTAACGTTGGACTAAAGGGCTCAGCTAACGTTGGACTAAAGGGCTCAGCTAACGTTGGACTAAAGGGCTCAGCTAACGTTGGACTAAAGGGCTCAGCTAACGTTGGACTAAAGGGCTCAGCTAACGTTGGACTAAAGGGCTCACCTAACGTTGGACTAAAGGGCTCACCTAACGTTGGACTAAAGGGCTCAGCTAACGTTGGACTAAAGGGCTCAGCTAACGTTGGACTAAAGGGCTCAGCTAACGTTGGACTAAAGGGCTCAGCTAACGTTGGACTAAAGGGCTCACCTAACGTTGGACTAAAGGGCTCACCTAACGTTGGACTAAAGGGCTCACCTAACGTTGGACTAAAGGGCTCAGCTAACGTTGGACTAAAGGGCTCAGCTAACGTTGGACTAAAGGGCTCAGCTAACGTTGGACTAAAGGGCTCAGCTAACGTTGGACTAAAGGGCTCAGCTAACGTTGGACTAAAGGGCTCAGCTAACGTTGGACTAAAGGGCTCACCTAACGTTGGACTAAAGGGCTCAGCTAACGTTGGACTAAAGGGCTCAGCTAACGTTGGACTAAAGGGCTCAGCTAACGTTGGACTAAAGGGCTCAGCTAACGTTGGACTAAAGGGCTCAGCAAACGTTGGACTAAAGGGCTCAGCTAACGTTGGACTAAAGGGCTCAGCTAACGTTGGACTAAAGGGCTCAGCTAACGTTGGACTAAAGGGCTCAGCTAACGTTGGACTAAAGGGCTCAGCTAACGTTGGACTAAAGGGCTCAGCTAACGTTGGACTAAAGGGCTCACCTAACGTTGGACTAAAGGGCTCAGCTAACGTTGGACTAAAGGGCTCAGCTAACGTTGGACTAAAGGGCTCAGCTAACGTTGGACTAAAGGGCTCAGCTAACGTTGGACTAAAGGGCTCAGCTAACGTTGGACTAAAGGGCTCAGCTAACGTTGGACTAAAGGGCTCAGCTAACGTTGGACTAAAGGGCTCACCTAACGTTGGACTAAAGGGCTCACCTAACGTTGGACTAAAGGGCTCACCTAACGTTGGACTAAAGGGCTCAGCTAACGTTGGACTAAAGGGCTCAGCTAACGTTGGACTAAAGGGCTCAGCTAACGTTGGACTAAAGGGCTCAGCTAACGTTGGACTAAAGGGCTCAGCTAACGTTGGACTAAAGGGCTCAGCTAACGTTGGACTAAAGGGCTCAGCTAACGTTGGACTAAAGGGCTCAGCTAACGTTGGACTAAAGGGCTCAGCTAACGTTGGACTAAAGGGCTCAGCTAACGTTGGACTAAAGGGCTCAGCTAACGTTGGACTAAAGGGCTCACCTAACGTTGGATTAAAGGGCTCAGCTAACGTTGGACTAAAGGGCTCAGCTAACGTTGGACTAAAGGGCTCAGCTAACGTTGGACTAAAGGGCTCAGCTAACGTTGGACTAAAGGGCTCAGCTAACGTTGGACTAAAGGGCTCAGCTAACGTTGGACTAAAGGGCTCACCTAACGTTGGACTAAAGGGCTCAGCTAACGTTGGACTAAAGGGCTCAGCTAACGTTGGACTAAAGGGCTCAGCTAACGTTGGACTAAAGGGCTCAGCTAACGTTGGACTAAAGGGCTCACCTAACGTTGGACTAAAGGGCTCAGCTAACGTTGGACTAAAGGGCTCAGCTAACGTTGGACTAAAGGGCTCACCTAACGTTGGACTAAAGGGCTCACCTAACGTTGGACTAAAGGGCTCAGCTAACGTTGGACTAAAGGGCTCAGCTAACGTTGGACTAAAGGGCTCAGCTAACGTTGGACTAAAGGGCTCACCTAACGTTGGACTAAAGGGCTCAGCTAACGTTGGACTAAAGGGCTCAGCTAACGTTGGACTAAAGGGCTCAGCTAACGTTGGACTAAAGGGCTCAGCTAACGTTGGACTAAAGGGCTCAGCTAACGTTGGACTAAAGGGCTCAGCTAACGTTGGACTAAAGGGCTCACCTAACGTTGGACTAAAGGGCTCACCTAACGTTGGACTAAAGGGCTCACTAACGTTGGACTAAAGGGCTCAGCTAACGTTGGACTAAAGGGCTCAGCTAACGTTGGACTAAAGGGCTCAGCTAACGTTGGACTAAAGGGCTCACCTAACGTTGGACTAAAGGGCTCAGCTAACGTTGGACTAAAGGGCTCAGCTAACGTTGGACTAAAGGGCTCAGCTAACGTTGGACTAAAGGGCTCAGCTAACGTTGGACTAAAGGGCTCAGCTAACGTTGGACTAAAGGGCTCAGCTAACGTTGGACTAAAGGGCTCAGCTAACGTTGGACTAAAGGCTCAGCTAACTCTAAGGCTAACGTTGGACTAAAGGGCTCACCTAACGTTGGACTAAAGGGCTCACCTAACGTTGGACTAAAGGGCTCAGCTAACGTTGGACTAAAGGGCTCAGCTAACGTTGGACTAAAGGGCTCAGCTAACGTTGGACTAAAGGGCTCAGCTAACGTTGGACTAAAGGGCTCAGCTAACGTTGGACTAAAGGGCTCAGCTAACGTTGGACTAAAGGGCTCAGCTAACGTTGGACTAAAGGGCTCAGCTAACGTTGGACTAAAGGGCTCAGCTAACGTTGGACTAAAGGGCTCAGCTAACGTTGGACTAAAGGGCTCAGCTAACGTTGGACTAAAGGGCTCAGCTAACGTTGGACTAAGGCTCACTAACGTTGGACTAAAGGGCTCAGCTAACGTTGGACTAAAGGGCTCAGCTAACGTTGGACTAAAGGGCTCAGCTAACGTTGGACTAAAGGGCTCAGCTAACGTTGGACTAAAGGGCTCAGCTAACGTTGGACTAAAGGGCTCAGCTAACGTTGGACTAAAGGGCTCAGCTAACGTTGGACTAAAGGGCTCAGCTAACGTTGGACTAAAGGGCTCAGCTAACGTTGGACTAAAGGGCTCAGCTAACGTTGGACTAAAGGGCTCAGCTAACGTTGGACTAAAGGGCTCAGCTAACGTTGGACTAAAGGGCTCACTAACGTTGGACTAAAGGGCTCAGCTAACGTTGGACTAAAGGGCTCAGCTAACGTTGGACTAAAGGGCTCACCTAACGTTGGACTAAAGGGCTCAGCTAACGTTGGACTAAAGGGCTCAGCTAACGTTGGACTAAAGGGCTCAGCTAACGTTGGACTAAAGGGCTCAGCTAACGTTGGACTAAAGGGCTCAGCTAACGTTGGACTAAAGGGCTCAGCTAACGTTGGACTAAAGGGCTCAGCTAACGTTGGACTAAAGGGCTCACCTAACGTTGGACTAAAGGGCTCAGCTAACGTTGGACTAAAGGGCTCAGCTAACGTTGGACTAAAGGGCTCACCTAACGTTGGACTAAAGGGCTCAGCTAACGTTGGACTAAAGGGCTCAGCTAACGTTGGACTAAAGGGCTCAGCTAACGTTGGACTAAAGGGCTCAGCTAACGTTGGACTAAAGGGCTCAGCTAACGTTGGACTAAAGGGCTCAGCTAACGTTGGACTAAAGGGCTCAGCTAACGTTGGACTAAAGGGCTCAGCTAACGTTGGACTAAAGGGCTCAGCTAACGTTGGACTAAAGGGCTCAGCTAACGTTGGACTAAAGGGCTC